GAAGGTATGGTCAATTACCATGTTTGTCTATTATTAGATAGGATAATTTGTCTAATGATGATAGTACCACAACCAAAATTCCCTAATGTTAAATTTGGGGACACAAGTAAAATAAACATGTTAATCTGAAACTCTGTATCATGGATACAGATAGTGATTATAGCCTTGTGACTTTGCTAATAATATTTATTATGATAATCTATGGCATCTCTCCAGGAAGATTTCTCAGATTCATCTGTGCAGATTAAAGTTCATTCTGTTTATCAAAATGCTGGCAATGACTCTCTGACTTTGAAAGGTGTGCATTTGCCCTTCTGTTTTCATGAGAAAAATCTGCCTCATTTCCTAATGAATGTCCCTTTGTTTTTCTTCCTCCCACCTACTCATACTGAACTTGTTCATTTAGATAGGAAAACACTGTACTATGTAGAACAAAATAAAAACATTTAAATGTGTGGTTGGACAGACTTATTTTTAATCTGAGTCGTTTGGTGTAACACTTTGTGTTAGGTAATAATTAAAGTTCTGATAAAACTTACCAAAATGGAGCTTTAGTTGACTATTTAATAACTTAAAGATTTTAGGGTGTTATTAGAATAAAAATAGATTTCACTATCTTGAGTCCAACTCTCTGGCTTAATATAATATATTTTTTTCCTGTGAAAACTTTCACTTCACTAGAAATTTATTTCAGGGGAACAAAACACAGACACGTGTGTATGTGCATTACATATGTGTTTGCTGGGAGACTAGGGGAGTAGAAGGTTAGCATTGAGAAGAGGAGAGTAAAATTTAAGAAATGGTGCAAAGGAAAATCTCTGCATCCATTTGAGTGTCCGGTGTGTATGCCCTTCTTAAATTAGTGCAGGGAAAGAAATGTTCTGGTCAGCTTTAAAAATGTTTAATATATGGTTTGTTCTAATGCCTGGACACTAATTTTGGTAAAAGGAAGTTTACAGAGAAAGGAAAAATATTTCCCATTATCACACCAAAAAAATACCCCCTGTGGACATAACATTTAAAATCTTATCCTTTTTGGTTTAGAGTAAAGCACTTGACAAAAATAGTTTGTGAGCCAAGAAGGGTCTATTTTTTAAAATATTTATATTTATTGATTTCAGAGATGAAGGGAGAGGAAGAGAGAGATAGAAACATTGATGAGAGAATATCATTGATTGGCTGCCTCCTGCAAGCCCTACACTGGGGATCGAGCTGGCAACCCAGGCTTGTGCCCTGACTGGGAATTGAACCATGACCTCCTGGTTCACAGGTCAACACTCAAAGGTCTATTTTTCACAAGCTTTCAGATCACCAACATATACGGAGTGCTGACTGTGCAAGGACGCCTTCATTGGAATTGAGTTCTATTTCACGTTGGAAATGGGAATATATAAGCGGGCACATTGACAAGCCCTAGCCAAATACATGCTGGTGGTGAAGTACCAAAAGCTACAACATTAAAAAAAAAAAAAGAAGAAGAAGAAGAGGAAGAAGCAAATGGAGTGCCACATTATGCTTGGACCCCAGTTAAATGCCCATCTGTGAGCTCAGCACCCAAGATAGTGATGCAGAAGCACTGGTTAGAGGGTGCGGCTGCCGCGGTTTGGGAGATGGGAAAGAGATACTGAAGCTGCTTTGCTCATGCAAGACTCACTCCTGAGGGCTTGATTTTTTTCTGGCACTAGTTTGGCCACTAAGCTCAAGTTTACCCATTAGGATCTTAAATTAAAACCACAAACAATGTGTCTCATCCCTTTTCCTGCTTTAGCAGGCAAGGCAAAAACCATTCCCCCAACATGCTCCTGTGGCCACGTCAGGGTCATGTGTGATTTCAGGTGCGCTCCTTTCTCTCCCGGGAGAAAGCATGTTAGAATGTAGGAGGGCAAGACTAAATGCTGGAGATGCCCCATTGCATGCAGAAAATCCACCACCCACGAACTCAGGTACCTAATGCAACCTGATTTTTGCCATGGTCACCCTGTAGATTGATCAAACCCCATTCTTCTGACCTGATCAAGTCCAATGTCATTCTCAAGTTCCCCACATCCCTAGGTAGCACATCCTCTCCTCCGAACTCTGCCCTTGAACCACTGCCTCTGCTGGGTTAGATCAGTTTGGTGACCCCCTCACCAGCCGGTGTGGGCTGTCCTGTGCACACACTAGCCAGATGTGAAGCTTTGCCGCATCCTCATTTTGGCAAATATTCACTCCTAGAAAGCAGATTTTAGCAAAGGTGTGAGAAGACAAGAGACTGACCCTGCAGCAGCATAGACATTTTGCATTTGCATTATTAGGATCTTTTAAGTGCTTTGGTCATTTCTGGATCCCAGGATTCAGGTCCTTTCTCTTTTCTCCTTTTCCCTTCCTGCCCCCCACTATCCCCTCTTCTCTTCCCCTCCCTTCCTTCACTCTCTCCTCCCCACTCCCCTCCCTTACCTTCCCAGCTTTGTTTCTCAGGAGCAAAACTCCAATTCCTAAGGGAGTCCAGGGTAATGCTTTCTCTTTCTGCTGTCACTGAAGGAAATCTGCCCCGCGCCCCCCCCCCAGCACCGCCCCTCAAAATTATTTTCTAGGTGCAGTTGCGGAGAAAGGTAATGAGGAGCAGAAAAGACAGTGGAAGACTTCAGGACTGACAGTAAGACTTCAGACAAGTCTGCATTTACTTAGACCCCTCAGAGGAAGCCTGAGAGGCAGGATAGATGGGTGTTAGGCACAGCCTCGAGTTTGAGATTTCCTGGTTGGATCCAGCCCCAAGCCTGCTGCAGGTCTCAGGAGGCAGGCACTTTATCCTCTGAGTGCCCATTTCTTTGCCTGTAAAATGACGTTGGAAATACATCCAATCTTCAACTCTGAAATTCAACCTCTGAACACACCTGACCTGACCTGAAGAGAAGTCATCTTCCTACTCCTGTGTCTGTCTACACATCTTACTGTAGGAATGTTGAAAGGGATTCATACTATATGGCATGTGCTCTTTAATGGCTTTGTAAAATCTGAAAAATGCTGAATTGCAGAAATATGAGGGGCCTTGTGGGTTTGGGATAAGGTTATCCACTTCAGAGGGTATTTGGGATTCTAAATGGGAAAATTATGGGGGGCTAACAGGACCCGGGACAGGAATGATCACGCAGTAGATGTTGGCTGCCTTTACCATCTTACTGTGTTGTGGAATGAGTGCTTACATGTACAGTAGTCCCCCCTCTTAATCTGCAATTTTGTTTTCCGCAGTTTCAGTTATCCACGGTCAACTGGGATCTGAAAATATTAAATGGAAAAGTACAAAAATAAAAAAATGCATAGGTTTTAAATTATTGGCCGTTCTCAGGAGCAATGAAATCTCAGGTGTCCTGCTCAGTCCCATCAATGACTTGAATCATCCCTTTGTCCTACATCCCCACGCGGTATAAGTTCCCGCCCTTAGTCACTTCTGGTGGCCACAACACAGTGCTGCATTCAAGTAACCCTTATTTTAATTACTAATGGCCCCAAAGTGCAATAGTGATGCTGGCAATTCAAACATACCTCAGAGAAGCTGTAAACTGCTTCTTTTAAGTGAAAAGATGAGTAGAGTACAATAAGGTATTTTGAAAGAGCGAGACCACATTTACATAACTTTTACTACAGCACATTGTTATGATTGCTCTATTAGTTATTGTTAATCTCTTACTGAGCCGAATTTATAAATTAAACTTCATCATAGGTATGTATGTACAGGAGAAAACAGTACACACAGGGTTTGGTACTAACCGCGATTTCAGGCTTCCCTGGGAGTGGGTAAGGGAGGATTACTGTACGTCTACTCCAAGAATAGCTACAAAACTTGATGTTAGGAAGTACCTAGGACTGGGCACTTTACAATCATTTTGTTTTATATGTTGTTTATATCTATTTTGAGTGTTGACTTGATTCCTTTTTTTTTTTAGATGTCTTCTAGATGTCCTCTAACTCCATTTTTTATCTGAAGAAAAATTGTATTTTCTTTCTTCTTCCCCTACTTTCTTCCCTCTTTTCTTCCTCTCCATCCCCAAGCACTTACACGTTCTTGTCCCTGGATCACAGGGAACCAGAGAGCTGATTACTGGCAAACGGCCGCACCTTTCTCTGAGTGTGGTGGTTAATGGCCAAAAGATGCTAAATGTGAAACAGTAATTTGGTAAAGCTCTCAGGAGCCTAGTGCTAAGAACTTCTCAAAGGGGACAACTTAGTGGGAAAAAATGGAAAATAAACACACACAGTGTAAGACTTAGGCTGCATATATAAGGTGATGTGGGGGCAGAGTGGTATTTTGTTTGGCGTTTTCTCCATTGTAAGGCCTTATTACCTGAGATAAGTAAAATTGTTTTCCTGCACATAAACTTAGGAGGTTGAATATCCAAAAGAATACATGGGTCTAGGCTAGAAGAATTTGAGTGACTGAAATGAAGAATTAAAAACCAATGTTGCATGATGATAAGATCATCAAAATATTCTGTTGTAAGAAATCTTGATGTTCAGTAAAAAACAAAAGCAAACGCAAAACAACTGGTAGAAAGTTGTGGGTTCATTTTGCCTGACTGTGCCGGTTTCCCAAACTGACTGAATGAGGCGATTTTCTGAGTACGTACTACATGAAATATTTTAAGTTGTAAGAAGTATTTTTTGTTTTGATTTTGTTGTGTTTTGTTTTGCTGTTAAGATTTTGGCTTCTCAGAACCTCATCGAAGAGTTGAAATTTTGTTGTCTTGATTTAAAAAGACCATGCTAGTGAACTCAATAAATCACTCTAAGTGAAAAGGAGATGCCAACAGGACACGAAGAACCCAAAAGTTTTAATAACATTTTATGTTTACTTTGTAAACTCAGCTAAGATTCATTTCTTGCTGACAGTTATTTTAGAAGCCAAAGAAAGAAATTTGTCTTGAGCACAATTGTTATGAATTTTATTTTTACAGAATCCATATTTTTCCTCTTTAGTTGTCATGGCTTTCTGGGTTCTGTGTAGTGCACTCCCCTCCCCCAATCGTATTGTCTCCAGACAGAAATAAAGAGTTTGTAGAAAATTAAAACACCGTTGGCGTTAGGAAAAAAGAAGGAAATCACAAAATCTCTCATTTTTTTCTTGCCCTTCTCTAAGGGCGCGCACAGCCCGTGGAATCCACTTGAGAGTAAATCAGTAATTGCCATCAAAGCTTTGCATTCATTTGGTCTCCAGGTAAGGCACCACAGCAGGCATCCTCTGATCTTCCCCTCAAACAAATAAAATTTAATCTGTTTTTGTTTCTTAAATCTCTTTTGGCATTTCTGAATCATTTGTTTATTAAAATGTTTTTATTAAGTGATTGTTTTTATTTTTATCTTAATTCAAAGGTAAATCTAGCTCCAGGTACCCTCCCTCTTCTGCCCTAAAAACACCTGCATGATAACTTTCCAAAGAATAAGGAGAAAATGGCTCATTCTTTGGTGATGTGTTCATTAGAAAAAGAAGTTAGGATCTGGAAAGATATTATATATATGGAAGGATCTGGAAGCACTCTTGGGTTGTTTAAACTTTGTCTTAAGCTGCTGTTGAGTCCATTTTAGCCAATCCAGGTACATTTTGCCTAAATCTCTGTTCCTTTTCTTTCTTTTAAACTATGTATTCATTATCTTATTCTTTGAGTATCAACTGATGCTCAGCTCTAATGAGAATTCAAAGGTCATAAAGACAGAGTCATAACCACTAGGAGTCTATAATTTAATGCACAAAAGAGCTTTGCAAAATGTATCAATTAGACAATATTTTGTGTCATGATAAAGGTACAGAGTGAAATGCTTAATTTAGGGAAGGCTTCATAAGAACAGTGGCATTTAAATGAACTGTGATGGGTTGAGGGATGCCAATAGTGAAAAAGGAATGATGTCAAGATTGTAGAGCTGACCATCAGTGAATAAAGTATTCCAGTGTACCTAAACCTCAGGATATGTCTATAAAATAAGACCTTGTACTAAAAAAATAAAAATAAATAAAATAAAAATCACAGCCTAGTGAGGGAAATATAAATAAAAGAGTGGATAAGTACATTTTGCATTTTGAGTTCTGCACAAAAGTCATTGGAACATGGAAGAAACCTTAGCTGTGGTGGTGGTTGGGGTTTGATTATAAAGCTTCATTGGGGTCTGACTCTTGAAATAGTATTTTGCCCATGGAAATATGAGTTCCCCTTATCCTTCTGACTTGTCATACACACACAACTTCTCTGGGACTTTCTAAAGAAATTTTATGTCATGATTCTCCGTTCTCTAAATTGAAGTGTAACGATTTCAACTTCTCTTTTTCTTTATCACCAATTTCTCTTAGTTTTCCCTCTTATTATTCTTACTGGTATGTATCACTTTTCTTTCCTCAGTAAAGCTACATTCACTTCTCTCTCAACTTGGACCTTGTAGGAAGCACCAGTACGGTTTTACATTTCGGAGAACACTCCCAGGCCATCTTCCCCAGCATCCCACCAATTTCATTAAGTACAACCCTACTTGTTATAAAAGCATGGCCAGACCCTTGCTTTCTGTACTATAGGAGAGTAACACAGGGCCCTAGGAGATGGTGTTTCAAATTGAAGTCAGATTGCTCAATTCTGACACTTCCTAAATATTTAATCTCAAATTACTCAATCCTTCTGTGCCTTAATTTCCTCCCTTATAACATGGAAATATAGTACCTACCTCACATGATCATTGTGAGAATTAAGTGAGATAATCCCAGAGAATTTAGTGCTGTGGTTAGAATGTAGTCACATTTTAATAAATATTAGCTATTATTGTAAAATTTTTAGCCAGTCATTTAGTACTTTCTTGCTTTCTATGCCTCATGATTACCGCCTATGATGGTTACTTTTATGTGTCAAAAATTAACAAATTTAAACTGGACCATGGGATGCCCAGATATCTGGTTAAACATTATTTCTGGGTATGACCATGAGGGTGATTCTGGAGGAGATTAGCATTTGAATAAATGAACTGAATAACACAGAGGGCCTTTTCCAATGTGGGTGGGCATCATCCAATCCATTGAGGACCTAACCTAGAACAAAAAGGCTGAGGAAATTTGGATTCTTGTTCTGCTAACTGTTAGAGCTGAGACATCAATCTCTTCTGCTCTCGGCGCTCCTGGTTCTCAGGCCTTCAGTCTTGGACTGGAATCTATACCAGGGCCTCCCTGGCTCTCAGGTTTTCCAGCTACACTACAGCTTTCTTGGATCTCCAGCTTGCAGAGAGGTGATCATGGGACTTCTCAGCCTCCATAATGGCATGAGCCAATTCCTCATAGTCAATGTCTTTGTAATATATCCTATTGGTTCTGTTTTTCTGGAGAACTCTGGTGAATGCACAACCTTTCTAATCAAAGTGTGGTTTGTAGTCAGCAGCATCGGCATCATCTGAAAGCTGATTAAGAATGCAGATTCTCAGGCCATATAAGCTGCTGCAATTTTAACAAGATCTCTGAGTGACTCAAATACACATTAGAGCATACAATTCCCTTATTCCTCATGAAGACATGTTCATATCAATGGTTTATCAACTGGGGAACAGCCACCTACCTCCTTGTTCCATAGACTTTGAGGAAGATCTGCCAGTTAACTATGACAATTTCAGCAAAGACACAGAGTTAATATAGATCTAGCCCCATTTCTAATGGTGCAGTTATTGGGAAATATGTTCTAGGGTTTTTAAGAGAAATTTTCAGAGAAATGAGAACTGGAGAAATGGATCCCTACATTGCAGAGAAATAGGGGAGCTGGAGGGGAAGAGACCTAACCAGGGGCAGTATTCTTTAACCTGTTTTTACAAAAAGTTAAGAAAGTCAAGGGAAACATGAGAGAGGAATGTCTGAGAATCAAACACCTACTG